CGATGTGGTGCTCCACATATATTGTGATTTTTGAAGAGAGTGGGATCCACGATTTTGTATTTGGTGATCAAGGAATATAAAGGGACATTGTAGTTTGTGATTGGCCAGAGGCATAACCATGTGGCGCCCCTAGACCAACCAATAGTTTTTTCCAAGAAATGGATAATCATCCCTCCATCCATCATTCACGTGGCATGCACACAAGGGTCACGCGCCGCTCTTTACCCAGTTGATTCTGCTCACCAAGATGTAAGTTGGTAGTTTGTCCAATTTTGGGATTCTTTGCTTAGCGAATTTTGCTCGCCAAGATGTAAGTTGGTGGTTTGTCCAACTTTGGGATTCCTTGCCGAGTAGATTTTGTTCAGCAAAAAGCAAGTTGGTGGTTTGTCTAACTCTAGGATTCCATGCCCAGCAGATTTTACTCACCCATAAACAAATTGGTGTTTTGGTAGTTCTAACGAGGTTAGGCATTCTTGGAATAAGTCTTAATAAGGTTAGGCTTTCTTGGAATAAATTCTAGCAGGGTAGGCATTTTTGGAATAAGTCCTAACAAGATTAGGTATTATTGTAATAAGCCCTAGCGCCCGTATATCGTTCTAGTCAAGCAATGTTACAAGATTATTTTTATTAGAATAATAACAGAAAGCTTTTACTCTTTCACTAGGCTCAAAGAGAATAAAAGCTTGGGAGCAATTGAGAGAGAATAAAAATAACCACAAGACTTATGTGGGTCTAGACACTGTCACATGACATAGTTATAGATTATCATGTACATCACCGTTGTCAAATCTTCATTAAACATTGCATTAGTATTTTATGTTATGTAAAGCTCATAACCCTAACTCATATGCCAAATGGGACCTTAATAGTTGTTTTGGTTTCAATTTTTTAGATTTAATTTTTTAAAATTTGAATTTTTTATTTTTTGTATTTTTAGTAAATATTTTTAAAATTTTAAGCATTTTTTACTTTTTTTAGATGTACCTTACTTAGGCTTAATTTGGAAACTTGGTTAAAAGCCAAAATTTAACTTTTAACCTATTTTGAGTCATATCACATCTTTATTTTTTTACACAATTTTTTTTAAAAAAACTAAAAATTTAGCTTTGAGCTAACTTTCCAAAAAAATCCTTAGATATCAACTAGTGCACACCTGTAGATGATAGTGATGTGGTGCAATCAAGGGCGAGCTCATAAGAAGTATTATGAGGTCAATCTCATGGTATACTTGCTCTCTTTTGTTTTTGCCAATTAAAAGTTCATTTACCATCAATTGAGCCTTGAGTTCTAGATCCCACAATTTTATAATGGAGACTAATCTCTCAAGTATAATAGGACCTCGATTACAAGCAGCCAATTTCAAACTTTTTCTCAAGAGTTGGTAAACAAAAAATTATTAGGAGTCTAAAATATTACAAGATCGTATTCCCTTAAAAATATTTTATTATTTATTCATTATAAACTCATGTTTTGAAAAAATAGAATAATTACTCAAAAAATATAAGAGGGTTGCATTTTAGGTGACTATTGTGAGTTCGGATCTTCGGCCGCACATTCCTGCGGCCCTTCCAGCAGCACTACAAAACGACGTCGTTTTGTATTTTTTTTTTTTTTTTTTTTTCTTCCTTTGTTTCTGATTAAGCTTTCCCCTTTCCTTTTTTGAACCCTAGACACAGAGGCGACAAATCTGGACGAAGGAGGAAAAGAGGAGGCGAACCAGAGAGGGAGGAGAAGGAACTTAAGGAAGAGATCAAACATCAAATATAGATAGAAGAAATTGATCAACCATCCATCTAAAGCAATAACAACAACATAATCATCCAACCCAGATTAGCTATTTGAAACAGGAGAGAAAGTGGTTACAAATTTCTGTTTCTATTTTAAAAATAAAATAAAATAATCTTCAAATAAAGACATCAACCATTCTATCATATCCTCTCTACCCTTGTTCAGACATTTCATCAGTAACCATCAAGATAAAAAAAAATAAACAAAAAAACCCCAGACATAAATTTAAAAAAATTAAATTAAATTAAATTTTCAAATAGAGACATCAATTATCCTATCAAATCCCTCCATACCATTGTTCATGCATATATAAAAAAGCCAACCCAGATCAGGAATTGCAAAAAAAAGCACAAGCGCACAAGCTAGATCCATAAACAGATAGATATACCTTGTTGGGTACAAAGAATCATTGGGGAATAACTGGTTATAACGCTTATACACAAATCCCTCCTTTTTTCCCATGAATTTGGACTGTCCTCTGCCTGATCTTCAAGAAGATTGAAAGTCATTACAGTTAGAGAAACACTCATTTTTTCCCCCCTCTTTATATATATCCCTCAATCTCTACATGGGTATTGATGAATATAGGAAGGAAATGATATAGGATTTCCAAGAAATCACAGGACAAAGTCAAGCAGATGTTTGGTTCGCTTTTGCTTTCTTTCTCAGAAGTTGTACAGGAAATCTGGGGATTCATCAGATTAACATAGCAGGCAAGTTTTTGATCTCTTCCTTAAGTTCCTTCTCCTCCCTCTCTGGTTCGCCTCCTCTTTTCCTCCTTCGTCCAGATTTGTCGCCTCTGTGTCTAGGGTTCAAAAAAGGAAAAGGAAAAGCTTAATCAAAAAAAAAGGAAAAAAAAAAAAAAAAAAAAAATACAAAACGACGTCGTTTTGTAGTGCTGCTGGAAGGGCCGCAGGAATGTGCGGCCGAAGATCCGAACTCAAATTGAGTCTTACCTTCTTTCAGAGCTCTCTCTCTCTCTCTCTCTCTCTCTCTCTCTGTGTGTGTTCGCCTCAGCCATGTCACCGCCGCTGAATGGGATTATTGGAGTGTGAAGAAGCGGTTAAGATTGCTAACTTAGCTCGATTGCTATTGGGAATTATTCTTTTTATTTATTGTGAGATATTCTGCTCATTTGTGTATTGTTTGTTCGTTTGGCAACTTGTTCTTCATCTTCTTGTTTGTTTGATGGAAAAACATTGAAAGGGGTTTTTATTGTCAAACGAAAAACAAATCTCTTTGAGCGAAAATGTTTTGTACTTTTAGAAGGTGAAAATGTTTTCCAACATAAATTCTAACCAATGTCACCATATTACCCTCATCTCTACCACCATCATTGTCTCCCCGCCACCAAACTACAACAAATTAAGGAATATTTTAGTTGATAAAAGTATAATTTTTGTATTTTTAGCGGTAAAATTGTACATTTACAAGTGAATTATTATCCTTTTGCATCAAAATTTGTCTCAAAAGGTAATTTTTTTGGCATGAAATTGTTTTATCATTTACCACCGACATTTTCAAAATTTTGCCGCTAAGGGTAAATTTTTTTGGACTTTGTGGGTCGGACTTTTAGTGACGGCTGAAATTAATAATCCTAATATTTTTTCTTACAAAAAATTCACTTTTGGTGATAAAAACATGAAAACTCTTATACGTTGGAGTTGTCCACTGTCACAGCCACCGCCACTGCCACTGCCCCACCACTAGGATTAGCATATTAGTTTTAATGATGTAAACAATCATAGGAAAGTACTTTTTGTGAAAACTTGTTTTTAGAAATTTTATTTCCTAGAAAATGCATTTCAGTGAAAAGAAAATTCGGCCGAAATAAATAGATGGGCAATCAACTTAAAAGTCAATGGAAGAGGCCTGTTCCAATTCCCATATTATTCATTTAGATTAGTTCTCTTCATTATCTTTACTTTGCAAGATGAGATGAGATCACCGTTTTATCATATTCCTTTTGAAGCACTGTCTGTGTCCCACTTTGAGATATTTATAATTTTTATGTAAAAAAAGAAAAGGGAAGTGTGTATCAAAAGTATTCTTGATGAAATTTGAATAAGATTGATAAATGTTGAATGAAAACATTCAGATGAGTTTGATTGCAGCCAATGGAAAGCTCACAAGTTGAAATAGAGGCAGCCAATGCCCATAGAGCTGTCCAAATCTTCATCAGGTATTTGGCCAATATAAATAAATTAAAAACTACTATAAATAAATAAATAAATAAATATATCCTATTGGATTAAACCTCACAAGTCAACTTTGCTTCCATTTAAGAACAAAAATTTGTATTGAAGTTAGGATATTGTCAAGTTTATATGGAAGAGAGGTGTTGACTTTTTGAGGCAAGGACCATTTCCATTCTACTCTCTTCATGGACATGTAGAACCTTTCTTATGCAAGTAACTTGTTACCAACCGAGAACAACTAAGAAGAGAAGAAATGGCAGAAGCAATTCTCTATGGCACTGCAGCAAGATTCTTAGGAGACTTGGGATCCATAGCCTTTCAAGAGATTGCATCAGCTTGGAATGTGAAGAAGGATCTCAAAAAGCTTGAAGCCACGCTGTCAACAATCAAGTCTGTGCTTCTGGATACAGAGGAGCAGCAACAGAAGAACAATGAAGTTAAAGACTGGCCTGGAAAACTTAATCATGCATTTCGTGATGTTGAAGATGTGATCGATGATTTTACTACTGAAGGCTCGAGGAGGAAACTGAGGAAGAAAGAAAAGAGTCAAAGAGGTAAGTGATTTCTTAACTACTCCTAAAAACAAGGCTGCTTCTAGTTTTAAGATGAGTCACAAAATCAAAGCACTTAGACATGAATTAGATGAGATTGCATCTGATAAGAACAAGTTCCACTTCAAGGAGTGTGTTGACAAAAGGCCCTTAGAGTATAGCAGGAGGGAGCAGACTCACTCATTCGTACGTACATCCAGGATTATAGGCAGAGATGATGATAAGAAAGCAATCTTAGAAATGGTGATGGATGGAGGAGCTCAAGAGGATATGTCCATTGTCTCCATTGTTGGGATTGGGGGACTAGGTAAGACCACACTTGCTCAATTGGTGTTCAATGATGAGAAGCTTGTAAGAAGTTTCAAGTTGAAGAGTATGGGTATGTGTTTCCAACGTCTTCAATTTGAAACTCCTCATAGAGAAAATAATAAAATCCGCCAATGGTGACTGTGCGAACTTAGAGATGGATCAATTGCAACAAAATCTTCGAAGATGTTTGGATGGGAAGAGATTCATACTTGTCTTAGATGATGTGTGGAGTGAAAATTGCGAGTGGATTGAGTTGGAAGACTTGTTAATGGGTGGTGAAAAGGGAAGCAAAATTATAGTGACTACGCGAAGTGAAAAGGTTGCATTGATAATGGGAGTCACTTCTCTGTACCACTTGAAAGGTTTGTCTGAAGATGATTCTTGGTCATTGTTTAAGCAGCTAGCCTTTAGAAGAAGACAATTAGCTGAAAACCCAAGCCTAGTAACAATTGGGAAGGAAATCTTGAAAAACTGTGCAGGAGTCCCTCTAGCCATAAGGACAGTCAGAAACCTCTTGTACCTAAAAGACACAGAAATTGAGTGGTTGATTGTGAAAGAAAAGCTTTGGGAAATAGATCAAGATGAAAACCATATTTTACCAACGTTGAAGGTTAGTTATGACTACTTGGCTTCCCATTTAAAGCCATGTTTTGCCTATTGCTCCCTTTTCCCCAAAAGCTGCCACATAGAGAAGGAGACATTGATTAAATTGTGGATGGCTCAATGGTTCGTTCACTCATCAGGCAAAGACCATGATTTTGAGGATATTGCCGATGAATATTTCAAGGATTTGTTGTTTAGGTCCTTCTTTCGAGATGTAGATGAAGATGAAAATGGGTATAAAAGTTTCAAAATGCATGATCTCATCCATGATCTTGCACAATTAGTGGCGGGGACGGAGTATTTTCTTGTGAATACTAGTGTAGAAAATATGTCTGAAAGAACATATCATGTGGCATTTGATTCCACTTCATGTTCGTCATCATCGTGGGAAGTTCCAGCATCCATGCTCAATGCAAGGAAGATTCGCACATTCTTTTTGCCTGGTAAACAAGGTCCAGGAAAGAGAGCAACTCAAGATGCACTAATTTCAAGTTTTACATGCTTGCGTACATTGGACTTGCATTATTCAGGAATTGAGAATGTTCCCAGTTTTGTAGGCAAACTTAAGAATCTAAGATATCTAGATCTCTCTAGGAATTGGCTACACTTCCAAAATCTATATGCAAGCTGCAGAACTTGCAGACACTTAAACTCTCCAATTGTTATGAGTTAAGAAAACTGCATGTTAATTTTAGAAAGCAGGTGAGCCTTAGACATCTTGAAATTGAGGGATGTAATGACCTAAGTTACATGCCATTTGGACTGGGAGAATTGACATGTCTTCAGACCTTACCAATTTTCATTGTGGGAAAGGATAGCTCCATCTCTAAAGCTATTGGCGGAATTGGTGAGTTGAATAACTTAAACCACCTTAGAGGGGGTCTCCAAATTAAGCATCTTGAAAATGTGAGAAATGGAACATCTAGATTGAAGGAACTGAAGGGAGCAAACTTAAAGGAAAAAAAGTTTATTCAAAAACTGACACTAGAATGGACAGGAGATAAAGATGGTGTTGATTATGTTGATGAGGATGGTAGAGTGTTGGAAGACCTCCAGCCACACCCAAATCTGAAAGAGTTGAATGTAGAAGGATATGGAGGGATCATGTTTTCGAGTTGGATGATGGTCAAAATGGTTTCATGGCTCCCAAACTTAGTTCAGATCACCATACAAAATTGTAGAAGATGCCAACATCTTCCATGGTTTGGTGATATCCCTTTTCTGAAGGTTCTCGAACTCAAATCCCTAAGTGCTCTTGAGTACATAAACAACAACAGCAGTGAGTCTTGCTCTTTCACTGCTGCTGCTGGTGGTGGTGGTGTTGCTGATGCTTCTTCTTCAGGGATCAATGTGATGAATGCTTCAACAGGAAGGTCTTTCTTTCCAGCTCTTGAAAGCCTTTTACTTTATGATTTGCCTCTTCTGAAGGAATGGTCAAGGGAAGTAGTTCTGGCTAATGATCCTGGGGAAATAGAACCAGCTCCCCAACAACCATCTTCGTTATCTTTTCCTCGCCTTTGTAGTTTGGATATCAACAGTTGCCCTAGCTTGGTATTTATGCAATTGCTTCCATCTCTTGAAGAATTGTCTATGACATATGTAAGCGAGAAACTATTGCAGTCTTTGACAGTGCAAACAGAAACTAGCAGACAAATAACGGAAGTAGCCAATTCAGGTCCCTCCTTTCCCCTCTGCACACTACAAACCCTGCATATATGCTTCTGTGAAGATACAGTATCTTCATTAGAAATAGGCTTGAGAAACCTCACTTCTCTGAGGGATTTGCAGATTATTCACTGTCATAAACTAGTGCAATTACCAGAAGAAGGATTAAGGGGCTTAGTTTCTCTTCAATCTCTTCAGATCAATTCTTGTAACAGCCTGACTTCTCTTTTTCAAGGAACCCAAGACGTCACTAATCTCCAGAAGCTAGAAGTATTGACCTGTGAAGCATTTGATTGGCCAGATGAGGATGATGGCTTGCAAGGTCTTGTGAATCTTCGGTCTTTGGAGATTTCAATGCTTCCAAAGTTGACCTGTCTTCCTCAAGGGCTTCAACACCTGACTACATTACAAGTTCTCTCTATTTCGCACTGTTATAGTTTGGTGTCTTTACCAGACTGGATGGGGAACCTTACATCACTTGCAAAGCTGTATATTGGGGCCTGCCATAAATTGGAGTCTCTCCCTAATACTATGCGTCACCTCACCATGTTAAAACAAGTGGACATTATTCATTGTGAACTCTTATCAGAAAGATGCCAAAAGGAAGGTGGAACAGAATGGCCTAAGATAGCTCACATACCAAAGATTTGTGTTCTTTGCTAGAGGATGAAAATGAAACCATAAAAATAGTGAGCGGTGGAGTCCAAACTAACTTCTGCCTACCCAGGTTTGCAGTTCTCTACTTCTTTTCCATTTCTCTTTCATAAGTAATTATGGCAAAAATTTCATATAATCTTCTCTTTCTTTTTTTATTTTTTGGGATAAATTCTCAGCTATTGAGCTTTCATGTGCAGCTAAAACCAGAGGAGCACTTCTTAGAGGAAGAAAGTAAGTGATTAAAATATGCTGTATTTCAATTTTCAGGTGATTGGTGTTTCTGCAGAAAATGATTTACAAAGTATATTATGGTAATCCAAAAAACATGTGTATGTTCGGTAATGTTTATGTTTTGCTGATTTTGTTGTTTTTCATAAAGTTTGAAAACCTTAAACAAAAGTTGGTTTGACAACTGTTTTGGTTTTCAAAAATTTAATCAACTTTCAAAATTTACAAAATTAAAAAAAAAATATATATATATATATATTTTTCACTAGTTATGAAAACAAGTTTTCATTCCATCCTCCCTTCTCCCCCTCCCCCTCTTGCCCCCATCCCGCACTAGGGGATGTGATGGCCTAAGTTACGTGCCACTTGGATTGGGGGAATTGACATGCCTCCAAACCTTATCAATTTTCATTGTCGGAAAGGATAGCTCCATCTCTAAAGCTATTGGTGGAATGGGTGAGTTGAATAGCTTAAACTACCTTAGAGGGGAGTTCCAAATTAAACATCTTGAAAATGCGAGAAATGGGACATCAAGATTAAAGGAACTGAAGGGAGCAAACTTGAAGGCAAAAAAGTACATTCGGAAACTGACATTGCAATGGGCAGGAGACGATGGTGTTGATTATGCTGATGCGGATGGTAGAGTGTTGGAAGACCTCTAGCCACACCCAAATCTGAAAGAGTTGAATGTAGAAGGATATGGAGGGATCATGTTTTCGAGTTGGATGATGGTCAAAATGGTTTCATGGCTCCCAAACTTAGTTCAGATCACCATACAAAATTGTAGAAGATGCCAACATCTTCCATGGTTTGGTGATCTCCCTTTTCTGAAGGTTCTCGAACTCAAATCTCTAAGTGCTCTTGAGTACATAAACAACAACAGCAGTGAGTCTTGCTCTTTTACTGGTGGTGGTGGTGTTGCTGATGCTTCTTCTTCAGGGATCAATGTGATGAATGCTTCAACAGGAAGGTCTTTCTTTCCAGCTCTTGAAAGCCTTTTACTTTATGATTTGCCTCTTCTGAAGGAATGGTCAAGGGAAGCAGTTATGGCTAGTGATCATGGGGAAATAGAACCAGCTCCCCAGCAACCATCTTCGTTATCTTTTCCTCGCCTTTGTAGTTTGGATATCAACAGTTGCCCTAGCTTGGTATTTATGCAATTGCTTCCATCTCTTGAAGAATTGTCTATGACATATGTAAGCGAGAAACTATTGCAGTCTTTGACAGTGCAAACAGAAACTAGTAGACAAATAACGGAAGTAGCCAATTCAGGTCCCTCCTTTCCCCTCTGCACACTACAAACCCTGCATATATGCTTCTGTGAAGATCTAGTATCTTCATTAGAACTAGGCTTGAGAAACCTCACTTCTCTAAGGGATTTGCAGATTATTCACTGTCATAACCTTGTACAATTACCAGAAGAAGGATTAAGG